TTTGCACTAGGTTTGTCACCATAGATGAGAAGGGTTTCGTCATTTGGTAGATTGAGGCGAACGGCCCTTTCGTAACATAGAATGTCGGCACGGTGAGGAACTAACCAATCCATCCCGATGATTACGTCGAAGCTTTTTATGGTGACCGGCATCAGGTCAATTTTAAATGTATGGTTGTCTAGAGTGAGAGTACACTCTGAGTATATATCGCTAGTGCGTTCTACTTTCCCATTTGCCATTTCTACTACATAAGTATCCTTTAGTGATTGGGGATTTGTTCAAGTAATTGTTTATATTGGTGGCTCACGAAACTCCTCTCCGCTCCACTATCGAATAGTACGCATGCATAAGAGTTATTGAGGAGAAACGTACCGGTAACCACCGTGGGATCCTCGACTGCTTCCCCATGTCCTATTGTCAGGACTCTTCCTACTCCACCAGCATTAGGGGCTTGTGCTTTGGGGCAGTTTCTTTTGAAGTGACCGGCGTCTCCACAGTTGTAGCAGGTTCGGGTTGCCCCCGTACTGGCGACTTGGTTGATTGGTCGAGCCGGCGCTTTACAGAAACGAGCAGTGTGCCCCTTCTTATCGCAGTTGTTACAGTGCATCTCCCTACAAGCACCATTGTGGTGAAAGTTGCACTTGTTGCACTTAGGTAGGGTTCCAGCATATGGCTTCGGTGGTGCTGGAGTGGTAGCAGTAGTGGCAGCATTAGTGGCAGCATGGACAGCAACAGTTTGTTGCTTCTTAGCGGGGTCTTGTGCTGGTTGGCTCTTCTTTTGGTTCCAGAACTTCCTTTTGTTGTTTCCCCCATTTGATTGATCAGTGGTGGTGGTTGTAGTATTATGACCGGCTCGGTGGTCAACAAGTTGTTGTGCCAGCTCCCTGGCACTGTCAAAAGTAGTTGGCCTTGAAGCCAGGACACTACTTTGCACTTGGGGAGACAGTCCCCAAAGGTATCGCTCCACCTTTTTCTCCTCCGGAGTAACCATTGTTGGGCAGAGGAGAGCCAATTCATTGAATCGGGTGGTGTAGGTTTCAAGGTCGGAGCCCGTCATCCTGAGGTTCCAAAGTTCTTGTTCCAGCTTTTGAATTTCACCTCTCGGGCAGTACTCCTTCATCATCAAGGTTTTTAGTTCTGCCCAGGATATGGAGCTAGCTACTTCGAGAGTAAGTGAATTAATCCAACAGTTCCACCAAGTAAGGGCCCGGCCGGTGAAAGTGAAGGCTGCGAACTTAACTTTGCTCGCTTCGGGGCAAGAGCACACTTGAAAGACTACTTCAGTCTTTTCAAACCATTGCATTAAAGTGATGACTCCCCCGCTCCCATTGAAGTTGTCGGGTTTGCTATTGGTGAAGTCTTTGTAGGAACACTCTCTTGGACGCCACGTACTGTCTCCATGGTTAGAGTTTGTAGCACCCGATCCAGAACCACCAGCTCCGTTTGTCCCTATCTGCGATATTGCGGCCGCTACGGCTGCTGTCACTGCAGCCTGGAACATCGCAGGATCAAACTGTGGAGGCAGCGGCGGTGGAGGTGTTGCTATGTTGCCGGAAGGTCTTGGTCTTCTCCTTGGCGGCATGGTTCTGTCGTAAGTCGTAAACCAATGTACTTTTAGTAAAAGTATATTTATAGGAAGAGAAATCTTTTATACATAAAGTATATTATTACGTTGTTTTCCGGTATGTTTACGATACATATGATTTTATACTTTTAATTGACCCAATACATTGGGTTATGAGGTAAAATGAAAGTATAAAATATTTTATTTGAGTCTCCTTGTTTCCAAGTATATGACTGTTTGTAAAAGTTTTTATATATACTAATTTAGTCGGGACATAATTAATATATTATATTTTAAAATGATCTTTATCGGTTACTAAATTAGTTGCAAAGTGCATACCAGTCATATGTGATTAAGATATAATAGTCCTTCGAATAGATGACCCTAACTCCAAGACCACAACCAAACAAGGACAGGAAGTGAAACAAAGATACATAAATTCTAAGTCTATAGCATCTTAGTTACATATGACCTTAGCGCATCCACTTAGCAGCTATTGATCTATAAATAAAGACCTATTTAATTCTCAGATAATTTAATATAGTAACACAAAATACTCCTATAGTATTTGTAAATGTTTAGTTTTGAGTTCTTAAAGTATCCTTTTGTAGTGTGTTATTAGGTTTGTTAGATTTGTTGTCCATCCTGACCATCCCCCGGTATATGCAAGTAAATTCCCGGACAGATATAGTTGATCAGGCTATATCCTTCCCAGATTTAATCCACATATACTAAGGCATACTCAAAATGTTCAACTCTTCTTCTTTTGCTTTATGTTTTCGCTAGTTATGATACCATGCGAGCATGTAATGTATGTATGTATACTTTAATCAAGAAAATCATTTATTTTCTAAGAGTATATTTATTTGAAAAATGCACAAATCAGAGACTATTAGTCCCAATTGTGTTTATAGTTTGTATATCTTATGTGGTTTGATATACTTAATTTACTATAAACTGTGCTCTGATACCAATCTGTCACACCCCCAAACCAAGGATGGCGGAAACGTCCGGGGGTGGATGACTTCATGTATAGTATCATAACAACAATTGTAATAGTAATTGAAGCAAACACAACCAACATATATATAATTGAAAAAGTGACATCATTGTATGAATTACATGTTTACGAATCAATTACAATATGTTGACAAAATATGAAATAGTAGACGCCTTAGCGCCCCATCCTCAAAAGCACTTGGTTACCTGTTTAATGATTTCCTGAGAATACAAGTTGTTTGAAAAAGTGTCAACACAAAGGTTGGTGAGTTCATAAGCTTTTGTTTGGTATTATTAAAAGCCTTTCGTTTGTAAAAGTAGTATTTGTGTTAGAAAATCCAATATTTTCCTTAATGTGTAAATGTAGTCTTAAAACCCAAAGACCGAAATGTACAAGTAATTTGTCATATTTATAGTAAAACAATGCAAGTTTAAATCGACATAAACTCGTTAAATTTTAATGAAGTTCCTGTAAATTCCAATGTTTATTAATACTTTATGTGAGTTTATTATAACCATACTATGACCAAGGTTGCCTAAAACGACGTTCTTCAGGAGTCGGAAATGTTATGACATTTGTCACCCCAGACCTATCGGTCTAACTGTTGCATGCAGTTTAGGTGTGGGTTTGTCAAACCCAATATAGATCTATACACAACTATCACGCTCTCCCTCAAGGAGACTCTGGTTACAATACAGGACTTAATGGTAATTTGAAGTAAATGTCTCACAAAGTCATTAACGGAATTACGTGTTATGAAAACTTGGTACCGTATGGCCGTACCTTGCTTAATGAAAATATCCTTTGTATAAATGTACCCTTTTTAAATGTATGTGTTATGTAATGTATCATAAACTATACCTATTATAGTTTATCAACCAAGGGTAGTACGTAGTAATGTATGCAAACTATATTCAAAATAGTTTATTAAATGTTTGAATGTATCGGTTGTACTTTGATTATAATCACTTGTTATTCTTTATATTTTATATGTCCAAATCCATTTGTAAACTGATGTGTGTCTAAATATTAAGATAAAATGTCATATATTGCAATAACATATAATCACATAAAGATATACACCTTGCTCAACATGTTACAAGCTGAAATGAAATTGACAGCAACTTTTCGTTGAATACAGTTTCTGTTACTGTTCTTAGAAAATTTATAGAAAAATCATCAAAGCTCTAAATCAAAATCCGCAAATTCTGAGAGTTTGGAATATGAGTCTAGTTTGTTCGTAAATTTTATCATGATTTTTAGTGATCTCTAACAGAGGTGAAAATGTTCATAATCACAGACTGGTCCGGGTTTGCCTCTGAAATGATAGGCAGTTTGTAAAAATCACCATAAATTGTAGAAAAATCAATGGAGATGTGCAAGTAGCCATTTTAAAGCTAAGAGTTTGAACTACTTGCACCTGGAACAGTTTTGAAAACTAAAATATTTAAGTTGACCAAAACAGTCCGTGATCGAAGTTCATCTTTTCTGATGTAATCTGATAGAAAAAGTTTAATTGTGTTCTTGATGATTTTACTTGTATTCCCCCTTAAAACTTAAGAAAAACATGTAAATGTAGGGGTATGAACTCACCTTATGTGTTCTTAGAGGATAGATGTTGGAGAAGAGAAGTGTTCAACTCAAAAACACTTAGAAGATGCCTTGACGAATCGAGAACCAAGAGTGGAAGAAAGCTTGATGATTAACCTTGGAAGTCTTGAAATTGAGAGAGAATGGTGTAGAAAATGAGTGACTTAAGCCTTGTATTTATACTAGTAAGAATTACTATTCATATATAATTCTTTAATAATAAGTGTTAAATGTTGACATTCTCCATATAACTAGTTACTGTATATGACATATTCATGATGTAATCATGACAAATGTTTCTAGAAGATGGTTAATACTAATTGGCTAATAATAGTAATTTTTAAAACGTAAATAGTAAATAGTAGGTAGTAAATAGTAAATAGTAAATAGTAAATAGTAAATATGATGAGATTTTTACAATTATCATATTTGTAAACCCCGTTAAGCCATGTTTAAGAGTCTTACACAGCCCCCGATAATTGTGCAATAGTGTTTTATCGCTTTGGTTCGTTGTTTAGCACTGTTAAGGCTAAGGAAAATCAAACACATGAATTTTCCAAATGATGTTTTCTCATTAAAATAGCGAATTGTACAACGTAAACCTTAACATACAAGGGTTAATGGAGTTGACCGGTTTGACTTGTTGACTTTGTTTGACTTTGACTTGACCAAAATTTGACGGTTGTCACAAATATAGTCCTTCAAAAAATTTATTGCAGCACTGTAGGCTCCGATGCTCGTGTCACTTGATTTGCGATATCAGAAGTGAGCAGCTATGGTGAGAACGCCATTTGGGTCGATCGAAGGAAAATATGCATCCGTCAAGGTGATGGTGGCTTCTTTGTTCTAAGAGACATAGTATCTGTACAACATGCAATTGAGATCAAACTTCCTCTGAACCTTGTTACCATATCTGATGATTTTGGTAATCCTCTTCTGATACCACACTTCCTTTTAGGGCCATGCATTGACGGAGTAAAAGGTTCTCAATCTCTCATGCTCTATTCTGATGATTATTTGAGGATCATCATTCGGATGTACATGATCGTACTTGATATAGTAATGACCATGAGGAGAGATTGGCAGGTCAAGTTGATTAGCATCTTGTGTTGGAAGATCATAGTACATGAAGGGCACAAAGTGTACGTCATGAATAATTCCTTCTCGGAAAAGAGGAGAAATGCCTAACATCATATTCAGATTGTCTTTTAGTGCTTGAATTCGGATGCTTTCTGCCAAAGCTTGATCGATTTGTTCTTTAGACCAACCCTCATACTTTTTGAATGTCTTCATTGGGCTGTCAGAGTCTGTTGCAATCTGTTTTCCTTTGTCTTGATGATTTTCGCTTTTTCCAGAAAAATAAGAAATGATTTGTTGACCGGATTTTGTGATGAAAAATTCAGATGGAGGAGGCATCAGAGGCTCTTCAGGGAGATCATCATGTTTCCGGGTGGGACACCCTTCATCAATCTGAACTATCGTCGGATCAGGAATCAGTGGAAGCATGGATTGAGTATCTCGGAATGCGTCAACAATGAGCTTAGTCCTGATCTTTTCCATGTCTCGAATTCGTCCGAATACGTCGGCTACGGATGATGGCCAACATACAGAGGACCATTTCATCCTCTTTGTCTTCGAAAAGACATGAACTGGTTGTTACCTGATGGCTTGAAGTACTATAATCACATTTGTAGGTAAGTCTTCATCTTCCTATGATTCAAGAGGTTCAAGTGTTTCGACCTCGAGAATAACATCATCGGTTGTTTCGACCTCTATCTACCCTCTTGCATGGGATGGCCCTGCCTCCGATGCAACTACAACTTTGGTTTTGAGTTCCTCAAACGATTAAAAGACTCTTTGAAAGCTGGTGTTGAGTTGTTTGGTGAGAGGATTGTAAGCCTTGGATGTAGGAGCTTGAGCCTTGAGGTGGGAAAATGTTTCATCCAGAATTATGAGCATCTCATCGAACTTGTTGTTCGGAACATCAACAACATTCCAGGTTGATCGGATCAGCTTGATAAGAACCTATTGCATTATCATGTTCATAGCATCCTTATTGTGAATCTCGTTTTCCAATCTTTGAATCTGTTTCTCATGACGAACATGAGTTTGCTTGATAAGTTCATTGGTAGCATTAATCATGTCATCATGAATCTTGAGCAGGATGGTGGTAGTGAAGATGTGATGATCGAGACTGTCATTATACTTCTGTTCAACATCTTCTATGGTGTGCTTGAGTCGGAGAGAGATGAGCTGTTCAAGTTGGTTGGCCCGATCGAGGGAGTGGCAGCTTGGATCTCAAAAAGAGATTTAAGAATAAGCTCTAGCTTGGAGTCGATAATTGTAACCTTTTGTTCAATTTTCTAATCAAGTCCAGCGACTTTCTGATCGAGGGAGTTGACTTTGGTGATAGCAGAGGAAACATTGTCTCGGATTTCTAACAGGGCAAAAGGATCTGCAATGTTTTCACCTGAAAATCATGTGTCCGAGGTAGAACTCTCATACTTCTTATCACTATCATCATCATTATGAGGTTCAGAGCGCTTGGATTCATCAATCGGATTGGATTGAGTCTCATTACCTTGATTGGTTTCTAGGATAACTATGGGAGAGGAGTGCTTGTTGGCTTCATCATGTTATTCTTCTTTGGATTCCTCGGAGGATGAGAAAAGACCGGAATCATAAGTTGGTTTCGAGGAAGAGGGCTTTTGAAACACATTGAAGGATGTGAGGATCGTAATGGAACCAACTGTTGTGCTGTCATTTCAAACATTACGTCATCCGAGAGTTCCTCGTCAGTAGGAGGAATAGGAGCTTCTTCTATTGTGAATGTCGGAAGAGGAGGATCATCTGAAACATTTGCAGAGTCAGGGACATCTCCTGTGGAAGTATTTTGAGCATCTTCAGAAGGATTGATTGCCTGATCAGTCTCTTCATCGGATGGAAAACTGAATGGAAGACGACTTCGGAGAGCGCGTTGATGCATAGAGATGAGCGTGTATTCAACTTGTGATCTGGTGCGCTCTGGATGCCTGGTATGAGCCTTTCCTAAAAAATCAGACCAGTCTTTTTCAAATATAACCGATCGTCCTTTACCTTAACCAGGTATCAGATCGGTTGTGGCTTTCGAAGTAGGAGAGACTACAACAACTGCGGAAAGCTTAGAATCAGAGATAAGTGCCCTTGATTATGCTCGTGTAGAACCAATAGGGATTTCCAAAATGACTCGTGGGTGTGTCCCATGGGGCTTCAAGGGGCTATATTCAATACCAGCACCATTTTTTTGGGAAGATGGGGGTACATTATGTGCAGACTCCCATTGAGTATGTGCATGTGATATTGAAACTCCGAAGGGTACTTCAGAAGAGTGGATGGTGGGGGTAGACTGTGATCCGGAGTCAGATCGAATGCAAACTGTGAATCTTGTTGAGAAGATTCACTGGCTTTGGTTCTCTTTTTGGCTTAGACTTTTGACGGTGATTACTTTCGTTTAGACGTCTTCTTCTTACGTCCTCCTAAGGAAGTTAATTTATACACATCTGAGGCTAGATCATCCGAGGTTGGGGTAGATTGTGTGGGGTCATACACAACCGAAATCTGAAGATGATGTTTCAGATATGGTGAATTGGATGGAACTGCAACTAACATATGTTCGAGGAAGCGTCGGATAGGTCCGAAAGTGGATTGGTTCGGTAACCTATAAGTTTTTATAGATGTAAAGGAATAGTATACCACTTTGAGATCGGAGTTGAGAGGAATGGCTTCTAATCTTTCATCGTATAGCCGTTGAAGCATCAGAGCCCAGAATCTTTGATTAGATATCTCATTGGGCTTCCTCTTGGTGGAGAATGTCTGAAAGTCCTGCCATAACACCTCGATTAGGTCAACTGTGTTGTCTCTTCCGGAAAAGATGTTGCTTGCTCATGGTGTTTGTACCACCATGTTTTCGGGATAGTTCGTGAAGGATTAGGTGCATCAGTACAATCCATAGGCCAGGAACAGCAAACTTCTTGAACTCATTTTCCTTGAATTCCCCATTATACTGTAACGCTCGGTTCCTGGTATGTAATTTAAATCAGAATTATTCATTTTTTTTATAGGAACTCGACGAGTTGGAGGCCCCAAACTCGTCGAGTAGGAATGGAATTTGGACGCGTGATTTAAAGTCTACTCGATGAGTTGAGAGCCTCAACTCGACGAGTAGGGATGCCAGAGTGAAACCCTAATTTTCAGGGTTTAGCACCCTATTTAAACACCTTAACCTTTAAAGGTTGGACTCATTTACAGCCTCCATCATCCCAAACCCTAGCCACAAAACCCTAATACGTTTTTGAGAGTTTAGAGCCATTTTTGGTGCATTCTTGAGGTTTGGAAGAAAAAGAGACTTGAAGAAGGAGCAAGGAAGTGAAGGAGAAGAGTAGATCCAGAAATTGAGCTCCATTTCTGGTTCATTGGAGGTATAAAGCTCCTATCTTGTCTATTCAATGTTTAGATCTTGTTTTAGAGTGATTTCTCCATGTTTTGGTCCAAGAATGCTAGTCTTTGGGACTTGGACGTCCAATGTGGGAAAACCCTTCAGATCTAGGGTCTTTAGGGGGCTTCATGGCATAAAGGTGCCAACTTTATGGTCATGAAGATCCCATTCAAATTATGGACCATTCTTTTGGCCCTTTGAGCAAAGTAGTCCATGCATGCAAGTAAAGATAGGAACTTTACATGATATATAAGCCCTAGGGAACCAGATATATGGTTTGGAAGCATTGAACTCGATTGAAAGTGACTGAATAGATTTAGACTAAGATAACTCGATGAGTTATTCATCCAAATCAGCGAGTTGGATCGTGGTCCCCCGACCTTTTCTGTTACTGAGCAAACTCGGCGAGTCTAGGAGACGACTCAGCAAGTTGGCCATGGTTTTTTGGTTTTGAAGACTGAAGAACTCGATGAGTTGGGTTGAAATGTCCCGACTCTATTATAGGGAGGAACTTGATGAGTTCATGAAAGAACTCGACGAGTTGGATCGAGATTTCAGGATTTATGGTTCATGGAACTCGACGAGTTGATGGACCAGCTCGACGAGTTGACTTTGACCAGGATGTTGACTTTGACTTTGACTTTGACAAAAGTTGACCCGTAAGGGGTCATGAGTACGGAAGGATAATTAAAGGAAATGTTTATGTGTAGGAGTCTGAGAGGGGTTGATTTCAGAGCAGGGGTTTTTGCAGCTATTCCCAGTTGTCGAGGTGATTTACTTTCCAGTAAGTGTGGGTCGAAGGCACTAATACCGGCCCACTAGTATTTGATTATAGTTGAGATGGTTGTCTTTATGATAATTTTCTGGTATGCCACTATCTGTTATGCTTTATGTGCTAGTATGCTATGTTGTTATGCGATAGTGGTAGGAAAGGTAGGATAGACCCTGTTACCGGTCGAAAGGACTGAAGGGGTAGGACAACACCCATGTATGTTAGGCAGTTACCAGTTGAAAGAGACCAAAGGGGTAGGCCATCAGCAAGATATGCTAGGAAGTAGTATGTGACTTATGTATATATGCTAGGGCATTATGTGGTAGAGGTAGGGGTGAAATAGTCCCCTGTTACCGGTTGAAAGAGACTGAAGGGTTAGGCCAGCACCCAGGTATGCTAGGCAGTTACCGGTTGAAACAGACCGAAGGGGTAGACCAGCACCCATATATGCTAGGCAGTTACCAGTTGAAAGAGACCAAAGGGGTAGGCCAGCACCCAGGTATGCTAGCAAGTTACCGGTTGAAAGAGACCGAAGGGGTAGACCAACACCCAGGTATGCTAGGCAGTTATCGGTTGAAAGAGACCGATGGGGTAGGCCAGCACCCAGATATGCTAGGCAGTATGTTATTGTATGGTATGTGGTATGATGGGGGAACTCACTAATCCCTGTGCTTACGGTTTACAATTTTGGTTTTAGGTACTTCGTCTTCGAAGGGAAAGGAGTCGACATGACTGCAGTGCATCACACCACGATTTTCCGCACTATGATGTTCTTGGGATTTATACTTTGACATTTTTATCCTATGACATGTTTTGATACATATGAATTATGGGTATTTATGATATGAGATAACTTAATGATGTTTTCAATAATCTTTTGTATGAACTATTAAATTAAAAATGAAATTTTTGGTATTGGATTTTGGGATGTTACATATACCCAATTTGATTCAGAAAGGAGTGAAACTCTTCCGTCGTGGGGTGCTTGAACACGAAAACATTTGGGGTTTTCTTCAATGACGATGGCCTTGAGGAAGGTGTTTTTGTTGAGAGGAACGATTTTTTCATCAGTGATCTTCACCTCCAGTACATCATCTTCAATCTTGATTCGTTCAAACTCTTTGTGTAGTATGCGAAGAGGAAGTTTAGGGTTGGGGATTTTGGTGAGAGGAATTGAGATAGGGTGGTGGGAGATGAACTCGATCATGATGCGGATGGATTCATCATAATCCATGGGATCAAGTACAATAGTTGAGTGGTTTCTCTAAGGATGAACTCAGTGGATGAAGATGAGTCGGGACCCTTTGAAGATTTCTTCTTCATTGAACATTTAGAAACTTGAGGAACAATCTGAAAGGACGCCATTGATGAAGTTTT